TGGCCGGGGTATGAATTTTAAATGAGCTTCTTTATCACACCCAATGAATCAAGCCAGAAAATGCCAATTTAGGGCCCCCACGCTCTGCTCAGTGAGGCCGAGTAAATAACCCAGTAAATAACTCACTCAGGCAAATTTCCTGACACCTCCTTCAGCATCAGTGAACAGGCAAAAAACAAACCCAGAACTGCTCCCACACACGTTGTGTGCTGCAGGAAAGCAGGGCCAGGGGAGATGCTGCCCTGGAGGGCAAGAGGAACCTGATGATTTTTGTTTTTTGGGGTGGCTGGATGCAGCACAACCTGTGCAAGAGCTCCCAGGATATTTCGGGAGGCCTTGCACTGGTTCTTCCAAGGGCTCCAGGCTGCCTGGAGGCAATTCCTTCCCTCTGAGAGCTCTTAAAGCTGTTGAGAACACTCCCATCCCTGCCTGCTCCTTCCCTCCCTGATCAGACCCAGCTTTTGAGGTCCACGGAGATAATAATTCACCCAGACAGAGCAGGGAGCTGACTGACAAAAGGCATTCTCAGTAAAACATCACCATTTCAAATAAAGCTCTTTTACACGTGGATTTCCCCACCAAGGTCTCCAGAAAAACAGGAACAAGGAGAGTTTCTCCAGGGCTGCATCAGAAGGGAACAAACAACGTAAGCCTGAAAGAACAAGTCTGCACTGATGGCTTTTCCTCTCTGTGTATCAAGGAGAGAAACAGAGCGTTCAGGAGCCTCCAGGCTGCTCCTCTGCAGCCAAAGGCACGGGGAAGGTGACCCTGTAGCCCACATTCTGCTCAATTCCTTGCACAGATGATGCTTCTCCAGCTCACTGCAATGCAACACTCGCTGTGGTCCTGTCCAGGCCAGCAGAAACTCACCCAGAGACGAAGCAATCTGCTGCCTCTCCACTCCACTGAGGGTTGCCAGGGCCAAGATCCACCCCAAACCCCAAAAAAGCAGCAGCAGGGAAGCTCAGGGCTCGGTTCCCAAGCCAAGTGCCCCTGACTCAGCACCACTGCCTGGAAGCCAGGAGCTGCAGGGAATAATCCCTTTTTCCTGGTGAAGAACCCACCCTGACACTGCCCAGCTCACCTCCCATTACTGAGCACATCCATGTGCATTTCAGCAGCCCCTTATCAGATGGTTTCCAGGATTGTTTTAAACCTTTGCTCGCATTTTCTTTGAATATTTAAATGTTCTTGCTGGCCTGTTTTTCCTTCCCTATGCAGAGCATTGATTTATGTTGCTAGATACCATATCTCCCTGCCTTGCCAAAAGCATGCATTTGGGAATGATTTCAGGGCTGCTGGTCATATTTTTCTCCTTCTTTTTATTCTGCACTTTATTTTTATTAACTTTTTTGTTGGAGGCACCATAAAAATGAAACTGTGGCTTGAAGGAACAACACTCATCAAACCCCCCAAACCAAAGCAAGCTGGAAGGCAGCTGCCATTCCCACCTGGAAGCTGCAGCACAGATTTGAGTTTCCAGTCCTTAAAAGCTGAAAAATCACAGTCCCAGGTCTCAAACACCTTCACCTTTCACTCCGGGGAGGTGGGAAACAAACTGACCTCAGGTTTGCAGCTCTGTGCTGGAAGAGCTCCCCTTTTCTTCCTCACTCCCAAAAACCCCACAGTGCTCCCCAAAAAGATGGGAGACAAATCAAAATGAAGGATTTTCATTCAATCTTTCAGGATCTCAAACACCTTCACCTTTCACTCTGGGGAGGTGGGAAGCAAACTGAGCTCAGGTTTGCAGCTCTGTGCTGTCACAGGAGCTCCCCTTTTTTTCCACAAGGTTTGCAGCTCTGTGCTGGGAGAGCTCCCTTTTTTTCCACACTCCCAAAAACCCCACAGTACTCCCAACAAGATGGGAGACAAACCAAAATGAAGGATTTTGATTCAATGGTTCAGGATCTCAAACACCTTCACCTTTCACTCCGGGGAGGTGTTAAACAAACTAACCTCAGGTTTGCAGCTCTGTGCTGTCACAGGAGCTCCCCTTTTCTTCCTCACTCCCAAAAACCCCACAGTGCTCCCCAGAAAGATGGGACACAAAGCAAAATGAAGGATTTTCACCTTCAGCATCCTGCTAATTGACTCTCCATCCCCATCCCTGCCTGCTGGCTGGAGTGGAGGATGTGTCCATCAAGGTGAAATGCAGGCAGCAGGGCTGGGAGCGTGCAGGGAGTGCTCCACATGAATCAGGGATTCCAGGGACATAAAACACCCAGCCACCCTTCCCAGGCTCCTGCCAGCTCACACCCTCCCTCCCCATATTTCCTGAGCTGCCTCATGCTCCACCAGCAGAGGGGAGAGGTAATTTTACTTCAAGTGTGTCACCTGTGAAAGTTGCACACGGGGACAGGAATGGATTGGTGCTTATCCACAACAAATGGTTAATAAAGGCAGCTGGTGGCTGCAGGGGGAGCAGCCAGGGAAGCAGTTTCCTTTCCAAACAACACAGCCAAGTGTCAGTTCTGGGAGGTGAGCTCCATTACGAGGTTTCTGGATGGATTTCTCTTCCCTAATCCACATGGGCAGCCAGGGGAAGTGATGGTGCCTCTCCCTGAGTGCTTCTCCAAAGGGGCCTGGACTCCTGGGGCTTCCTGCAAATGGGAATTTTGGGGTTTGCACAGCTCTTGTGGCACCCCTGAGCTGGGGACAGGCTGGGCTCTGGCACCCCTTGCTCACTGATGGACGGCAAATATATTTGTGACAGAAATATTCAGTTTTATGTGGAGTTTAGGAGAGAGGAGGACATGGCAGGGGGTGATTTTAGCTCCTCAGTGGCTCTTTGAGGGGTGGCTTTGAATTCACACAGGAAGGGCAACATCAACACCATGAAAACCAACACAGATACAGAAATTCACCATAAACTGCATTTCGTTTACAAGAGGAAGAGACAACATCCCCAAAAGGCAGGGAGGAGCTTCAGCAAGTGTGTCAGCTCACCATAAACTGCATTTCATTTCCAAACTAGAGACAGAACATTCCCAAAGTGCAGGGAGGAGCTCGGCATGTCCACTCACCATAAACTCCATTTCATTGATAAAAGGAAGGAGAGAACATTCCCAAAGTGCAGGGAGGAGCTCAGCAACTGTGTCAACTCATCACAAATTAATTTCATTTACAAGTGATGGAGGGCAAATATATTTGTGACAGAAATATTTAATTTTATGTGGAGTTTAGGAGAGGGGAGGACATGGCAGGGGGTGATTTTGGCTCTTTGAGGGGTGGCTTTGAATTCACACAGGAAGGGCAACATCAACACCATGAAAACCAACACAGATACAGAAATTCACCATAAACTGCATTTCGTTTACAAGAGGAAGAGACAACATCCCCAAAAGGCAGGGAGGAGCTTCAGCAAGTGTGTCAGCTCACCATAAACTGCATTTCATTTCCAAACTAGAGACAGAACATTCCCAAAGTGCAGGGAGGAGCTCGGCATGTCCACTCACCATAAACTCCATTTCATTGATAAAAGGAAGGAGAGAACATTCCCAAAGTGCAGGGAGGAGCTCAGCAACTGTGTCAACTCATCACAAATTAATTTCATTTACAAGAGGAAGAGACAACATGCCCAAAATGCATGGAGGGACTTCAGCAACACTGTCAACTCACCATAAACTAATTTAATTTACAAAAGGAAAGCGAGAACATTTCCAAAATGCAGGGAGAAGCTTCAGCAAGTCTGTCAGCTCACCATAAACTGATTTCATTGACAAGAGGAAGGAGAGAACATTCCCAAAATGCAGTGAGGAGCTCAGTGTGTAAACTCACCATAAACTGCATTTCATTTGCAAAAGGAGGGAGACAAGATTCCCAAAAGGCAGGGAGGAGCTCAGCAAGTGTGTCAGCTCAGCACAAACTGCATTTCATTTCCAAACTGAAGAACATTCCCAAAGTGCAGGGAGGACCTCAGCGTCTCCACTCACCATAAACTCCATTTACAAAAGGAGGGAGGGAACATTCCCAAAACACAAGGAGGAGCTCAGCAAGTGTGTCAGCTCACCACAAACTGCATTTCACTTACAAACTAGAGACAGAACATTCCCAAAGTGCAGGGAGGAGCTTGGTGTCTCCACTGACCGTGCAGGAGAACCTTTCACTCAGTGTCAGCCCCACCTGCACAGGGACACCCCACCAGGCAGGGAGGGTTCCAAGAATCCCTCCAGAGCATCACTGGAAAAGCATTTTAATTTTATATTGAGTCATTCCCCCACTATTTTTTTTAAGCTGTAGAATCTCAGAGTTCTCCACAGCTTTTTCTCTCTGATCTCCTCATCAGAGGAAGTACAATTGTAAGGGCTGGTGGAGAGACAGTGAATATGGATTAAAAAATACCAGAGTCGTCTTCTAATGGTCAAGTTCTGCTAATACACCAAGTTTTTCTTCTTCTAATGGTCAAGTTCTGCTAATACACCAAGTTTTTCTTCTTCTAATGGTCAAGTTCTGCTAATACACCAAGTTTTTCTTCTTCTAATGGTCAAGTTCTGCTAATACACCAAGTTTTAGAGGTACAAGCCAGTGTTGTCTCTGTGAACTTGGTGATACTGCCACAGCTTCCAGCATCTGACTGGTAAAATCTACCAAAGCCTTTGCAGATGTTTTAATATTAATTAATATCTCACAATAAATTGTACATCTAGTTTTGCTCTTGTTTGTGTGAACATAGATGTACGTATAAGCATAAAAATATTTACATATTAAATATTATATATTATCTATTTATATATTATATATATAAGTATGTTTTATGTATGATATATATTTATCTATTATATATATATATAATAGATATTTTTATATTATATATTCTATTCTATATTTATTTTACAAATATATATGTATATAGTAAGGTGTTGCCAACCTTACTACACTCAATTATTCTTCCTGGGCTTTATTAATTTCTAATTAGGTTTTTAAGATTCAACTCCACAGCAGGAGTTCCTAATAAGGAAATAAGAAGAATAAACCCAGCCCCAAGCCAGGTGAGCACTCACCAATCCTCAGGGAATGGGGGCTGGCCCAGATCCTCATCAGCCACAGCAGAAGGAGCACCAGAGGCGCCAAGACACGGAGCATCTTCCATAAATCCTCATGGAGCCCTGCGGTGGTCTGGGCATGACATAACTCTGCAGGGAGACACCAGACACGGCCGTGAGCCCCTCTGCTCCCCCCCAGCAGCACCACTCAGCTCTGGAGACAAAAGCTCTGTTTACCCGAGGAGGAGGAAGCTATTTACGGACCATGAATTATTCAAGATTTGGAATCCAACTGGGCAGAGAGCTCCGCGCAAGAAAAAAAAATTTAAAATAAAAAAAAAAAAAGGAAAGGAACATGAGGAAAAGTCCAAATATTTCATCTTGGCATTTTTAGCGTTTCAACAAAAACAAGTGGAAATCAATATTGAGTCACATCTCTGACTTCTAGTTCTCACCCACCCCCCCTTTCTCTCTCCACTCAGAGCAGCCTGCAACTCATTATATAATACTGGCTTCTGATTTTAGGATGGGACAACACATTTTCATAGCAAAACGTGATTTGAGGGAAGGGTTCAGGAGGCACAAGTCACTTGGGCCTCACCAAACTAGAAACCAATTCCTTGCCACAATTCCAGTCACCTCCTTCTCTCCCTTTCAGCAACAAGAGGGTTCAGCACTAGACCAAGAGCATCTTTTTTTTTTTGTCCTCTTTTTTTGTCTCACCACCCAACCACACAGAGTTCCGAGTTCCAGAGTCAGAACACCACCAAAATGAAGGGCAGGAGGTGAAAAATCCACAAACTCATCATCAGCACAGATATTGGCACTGCCTGTCCCACAGCAGGCTCCTGCAGCACAGCTAATCAAATTTGTAACAAATACCATTTTAAACAGCTTCATAAAGGGCAGATTTTACTTCATAGGAAAAAAAAAAACCAAAAAACTGTTGTCTCTGGAGTTGATAAAATTATCTCCACAGGCAGCAATGTCCTTAAATGCTGACTTTGAGTGTTTCATCTGTTACCTTATCTCTCCCTTCTCTCTTCTGCTGGCAAACATTCTCACCCTCTTCCATTTGTCTCCTTCTTGGGCCAAATACCAAGTCCTGACACAGGCAAAGTCTTTAATCTGCCTTTGAAGCTACCAGGAGTTTTGTCTGAGCAAGACGCAGCCTTTTGCTTGCAATTTTCCAATTAATCTATTTTTAGATTACATTTAAGACTTCCTCCAGCTTATCTCAGCGCTCTCCACAGGGACCATCCCCTTTCACAGAGGGGAAATGCAGAGACAGGGCCACAGAAATAAAAATCCAGGGAGTCCTGGGACATTCCACTCCCTGGGGTTTGATCCCTTCCTGGATTATGCTTCCCCACCTCCTGCATCCCAATTCCAGAAAATTGAGGGATCTCATGCTCAGCTGTCAGCCAGACATGGGAAGAACATCCCAATTTTAATGCTCTCAACCCATTTTTAAAAGCTAGAAACTCCCCAAAAACCACCTGGAAAATCGTGAACCACCTCTGTGAAGGGCAAATAGCAATTTTCTCCTATTATTTTTTTTTCCCCTCCCTTTCAGTGGGAGTTGCAGAGTAATTCCTGGGGAAGAGAAGCCCTAAAAGGTTAAACACACGGGAAATTGGTTACTTAGAAGCGCTGGCAGCGGCAGAGACAGATTGCAGAGCAACGTATCATTGGAGCACTTTGAGGCAGCTATTTCCAAACTTCCCAAGATGTTGACAAAACAGCAGCATCGTGTCAGATGCACTCCCAGCCTGGAATGTGGAGCCGGAGCTCGTGGAACACACACAGACATCCCTTCCCCATGGAGACAGCGGGACAACGGGAGGTTTGCCACCCAAAGAGCTCCCTCGTGCTCAGTTCTGGCTCTAAAGCTGCTCCCCAACGGCCACAATCCTGTTTTCCTCCTTTTTATAGGTCATTTTAGGTTCTGCTTCTCGTACTGCTACCCCCAGGGTGCTTTCCATGCGTAGTGGTTTCGGTTCGCCAGTTTGAGATTTTTGAGGAAACCAAATTTGAGATTTTGAGAAAAGCAAAACACCTTGGTGATGAACAGACACCACCCAACTAGAACATCTGGTAGGGAATGTCAGACCAGGAGCAGGGCAGGGAAAAGGGGGTAAAACCCCTCAAATTCCAGCCAAACAGGAGGGAAATGCCTGCTTTCCTTCCTCATCATTCCCTGCCAAAGCTCTGTGGAATCACTTCAAGGAAGGACATGGAGGGGCTGGAGAGCGACCAGGGAAAGAAAAGGAGCTGGAGAAGGGTCTGGAACACCAGGAACAGCTGAGGGAGCTGGGAAGGGACTCAGATGGAGAAAGGAAGGCTCAGGGGGGACTTGTGGCTCTGCACAATTCCTGACAGGAGGGGACAGCCAGGGGGGATTTGGGATATTATCCCAGGGACAGGGACAGGAAGAGAGGGAACGGCCTCAGGCTGGGCCAGGGGAGCTCAGGTTGGAATCAGCAGGAATTTCCCCATGGAAAGGGTGGCCAGGCACTGGAAGGAGCTGCCCAGGGAGGTTTGGAGTGCCCATCCCTGGAGGTGTCCCAGGAACCACTGGAGGTGGCACTGAGTGCTCTGGGCTGGGAACAAGGTGGGGATGGGGCACAGCTTGGCTCTGTGGTCTGGGAGGGCTTTTCCAACCTCAATAATCCTGTGAACCAGCAGGCTGAAAGGAGGGGTTCTCATTTCAGACTCTGAAATGACAAAATGCACCAGGAGCAACCACTCTTGTGGGAAAAGGGAAAAGCTCCCGTGACTCCCTGCTCCGAGGGACAGACCCATGGTTATTCCTCCTGTTTGCAGCCTGCTGGAGAGGCTGAGGAGGAGATTCCCAGGCAAGCAGCAGCTGGCTGTGCATCAGCAGCTCGGAGTTACCAGCCAAGCTGAGCAGTAAATCCAGGGCGCCCGCTGAGCTCTGCTCCGGCAGCGGCGGGGCTGTAATTACCTGGGACATGGAGCACAGGGGGATGCTGCTCCACCTCACCCCTCAGGAGGGCTTGGGCTTGGAGCACGGGCCCAGGGAACAGCTGTCAGCAAGAGAAATGCACCTCGGGGGCTGCCAAACAGCAGAAAACACAGACCCTACAAGCCCTGCTTGAGGAGCAGCTGGCTGCTGGAGGTGATGGCAGAATAGCTGGGGAGGGGAACACAGGGATGACTCCCCACCTGCACAATGCTGGGAGCCCAGATTTAGGATCAGGAGGGAAAGGAAGAGAGGATTTTCCTCCTAGCCCAGCATCAAAGTTAGTCTCAAATGAACAAAGAGGTGTTTCAGTCCTCACAGCCCTCTGCACCTCCCAGTCCCCACTTGCTGCCTCCTCCCTAAATTCAGGCATGAAAGGGTGGTGAGCACAGCTCAAACACCCTCCCTGTACATTAATTTTGCCTTGCTCAGCTTGTCATCCTGCCAAGCTGCCTTCCAGCTGCAAGGTGCATCCGTCTGTCCCTCATTTCCCCAGGAGGTGCTGTGAAACATGAGTTCCACGCAGGTGCACCGGTGAATTGTGGCTACAGCTGGGGCATCCACTCCTGTGCAGCCCCAAATCCCACTCAGAGAGGAGAGGAGGACAACCTTCCTCCATTAAAACCTCACAAAGCCAAGAAAACCCCGAGGAGACAAAGCTCTTTAGCAGCTTGCCTCACTAATTCCTTGTGCATGTGAAGACGACTTATCCCAGACTCATCCTCAGCTGGCTGAAAATAAATCAAACCAACTTCCCCTGCTGAAGTTTCCAGCGAGAACATGTCAGGAGCTGTGCATTCACAGCTTGAGTGGCTCCTCTCTCCTGCTCTGACAGCAGGCTGGGTTGATGGACAGCTGTCTGTGGAGCATTCCCAATCTGCTCCCCCCAAAAAAAAGAGTGGGATGGCTGGGAAAGAGTTCCCTGGGTCCTTCAGGGTGGGAGGTGCCTTGCTGAGAAGCTGCTGCTGCATCACGAGCTGACCCCTGCGTGCAGCACAAATACAGAATTCTTTTCCTGCTAAGCCCCTTTTTTATTTCTTTTTTTTTTCATCTTTCAGCTTTGGAAAGTCAAGAGAATAAAATAAATCAGGGCTATACTGGGGAGTTTTGTGTTCTCTCTGGAGATAAAAGTCTCTAAATACCAAGCAGAATTATGGACGATTTGCCTCCGAGAGGGAGCAAGTTGCTTCTGAAACTACTGATACATTTTTAATGACTGTGAGCTGGTGCTCTTCTTCACTGCTATCACCACAGCCTCCTGCTATTTGGAGATTTCTGCAGAAAAAAAATTCTTAGAGAGTAGAGCAAAAAGCCAAAAGGCAGAACAAAATGTTAAATCACTAGAAGAAAACACCCCAAAACCCCTCTGCTGGAGCTGCCACAGAGATAAAGAAGACATCCCTGAAAAGCAGCCACCTCTCTGCTCGTTCCCTCTGCACAGCCTGACAAGGACACTCAAGGAACCTGCTGTTATTTCATGGAATTATGGAGTGGTTTGGGTTGGAAGGGATCTTAAAGAGCATCTGCCATGGGCTGGGACACCTCCCACCATCCCAGGTTTCTCCAAGCCCTGTCCAACCTGGCTTTGGCTGCTCCTGTTGTTTGGCACACGTGGAATGTGTTATGGAGATTGTTTACCAAGAGTGATCTGTTAATTGGACACCAGTAGTAGTTGTTTTGTTTGATTGACTGATTGATTGATTGATTGATTGACCAATTAGGTCAAAGCTGTATTGTGACTGTTTAGTAAGGTTCACAAGTTTTTCTTTAGTATCTTTTTAATATAGTATTAATATACTATATTATAGCTTAATAAAGCAATTGTTCAACCTTCTAAAATCATGTTATTCCCATTATTTCCACCTAAAAAACATCTTTTACAATAAACTTGTTCCTTCCACATCTGTCCCCAGCAGGAGCCACAGAGGGCTCAGCATCTCCAGCTGCCCTGGAGAGCAGTGCCAGGCCCAGGCTTCCCAAAAATCCCAACGTGTTGCTTTTATCCCCATGCAACCCCACACTGCAAACCCCCCTGCACGCCTTCTCCTGCAAGCTGAGAAACCACAAACACCCTGGAAAAACCTGGCAGCAAATTCCACCTTCTCCAGGCAGAT